CCACTTACCAGCCAATGAATGAACTCACAGCCCATGATAGGACTCCACTTACCAGCCAAAGAATGAACTCACAGCCCATGATAGACTCCACTTACCAGCCAATGAATGAACTCACGCCCATGGGTAGACTCCACTTACCAGCCAAAGAATGAACTCACAGCCCCTGATAGACTTCACTTACCAGCCAATAATGAACTCACAAACCATGATAGACTCCCCTTACCAGCCAATGAATGAACTCACAGCCCATGATAGACTCCACTTACCAGCCAATGAATGAACTCACAGCCCATGATAGACTCCACTTACCAGCCAATGAATGAACTCACAGCCCATGATAGACTCCACTTACCAGCCAATGAATGAACTCACAGCCCATGATAGACTCCACTTACCAGCCAATGAATGAACTCACAGCCCATGATAGACTCCACTTACCAGCCAATGAATGAACTCACAGCCCATGATAGACTCCACTTACCAGCCAATGAATGAACTCACAGCCCATGATAGACTCCACTTACCAGCCAATGAATGAACTCACAGCCCATGATAGACTCCACTTACCAGCCAATGAATGAACTCACAGCCCATGATAGACTCCACTTACCAGCCAATGAATGAACTCACAGCCCATGATAGACTCCACTTACCAGCCAATGAATGAACTCACAGCCCATGATAGACTCCACTTACCAGCCAATGAATGAACTCACAGCCCATGATAGACTCCACTTACCAGCCAATGAATGAACTCACAGCCCATGATAGACTCCACTTACCAGCCAATGAATGAACTCACAGCCCATGATAGACTCCACTTACCAGCCAATGAATGAACTCACAGCCCATGATAGACTCCACTTACCAGCCAATTAATGAACTCACAGCCCATGATAGACTTCACTTACCAGCCAATGAATGAACTCGGAGCGCTAGAGATACAAGGCAGCGGAGGGGACGAGGTTGAGAGAGGACTCTGGCTAACATGGCACAACATTAATTTCATAGTTTACTGATGGGAAATATAGGTATGTACTGTATATCAACAGTTAACTTACTAGTGGAGATAGAGAAGTTAATCAATCATTACATTTTGGGTGCATTTGAAACATGTTTAACCACACTACTCGGCATCAAACCATGGTTCTAACAGGAGGCATCACACTGCTAGAATAAATGGTGCTAAATAGAACCAAAAAGGGTTAAATGGTTTGTTTCATATAGCCCTCAAAATGTTCTATAAAGGACCACAAAGCATTCATATTGTTTAGCAGTGCAGGACAATCATTATTTATATAAGACCCCATTGCTCTCCAAATCATTCTACTGACTGATTGGACTCCATTAATATTTCTACCTGAGGCAGAATGTACCTGCTATCACATGGAAGTACTTAAAGGGGCAATCTGGGATTGCTACATCAATTGTTTTACTTTTAATTGAATGATATATGGCCATTGATTCTTGAAGAATATAACCTAACCTCTGCCTGATACCATCAGAACCCAAAATGTAAGGTTGCTGGACTTTATTGTTTATTGTTGTTGTTTATTCTCATTAGATGACCAAAGCCAGAAGAGGCTAGCCTGGAATCCACACCTAATATTGCTCTGTTTCACTATTGTCTGACTTTACTGAATAGAGCAATGTTCAGTGTTAATTCCAGTGACAGTCTATTAAGAAGAGACAGTGATAGACAGACAACTGTAGTGGCCAGGGATTGGGTGAATTCCGTTTTCAATACAGTCAATTCATGAATTATTATTTTCAATTCCATTCCTGGATTTCTGGAAGGGACTTAATTGACTCCTAACGCTGTAGTGACAGTTTGGGACCAACATCAGGGCTGCTCCCTTCTCTCCAGTCAGGTTGAATGCTGATATTTGTATCAGTCCTTTTAGCAAGACCCAGTAATTGTGTTTGTTTTAGTTCGGATCTAAAACACAGCTTTCACTGGTCCTGATAAATTGCCACTAATTCGCTGTCTGCCCGAAGCCCTGTCAGGTAATGACAAAATTGATTCTCAACTTGATTCAAAATGTCATTTCTGTCATAACCTCAAATTGATTCCTCTTGTGGGTATCTGCTTCAATTTTGTGGAACGAGGCAGGACCTTAGCTGACACTCTACTGACACCTTCAGGTTAAACGCATCATCACAGAGATTCTATGAGTCAGTCAGTCAGCGTTTCAGCCCAATGACTACCAATCAGTTTGGTATAAAGCTAAGGGATGGGGCTGGAGAAATTGAACCCCTCTCAAATTCATAGATGGGTCAAACGAGTAAAAAAAATATTTTAATGTTTGTGTAACATTAACTTTTTAGGCACCAGTACTCAAATCGTTTTTTATTCAGCAAGGCTGTCTGAGTTTTGCTGGAGAGAAGCAATTAAAAGAAAATGACATTTGCACTTCCACTATTCCAGAGCTTGTTAGATCCTCATGGAGACACGTTCATGGATAGTGAACAGGCAGGCCACTGATCCGTTAGCAACCCTGACGTCTGTCTATACCTGTCTCTAAGTAACAGGTGCCCAACAAACCTTCCTCTGCTGCTGGCTGGTAACCAATGCCTGGTAACACCACCCAGGGTATGAGGAGGGTAATGGGTTGGTAGACAGGAAGTTACAGACCATATAATAATCACACAACATCAAACCACATTCATCTCCCAAAATGAGTTTAGAAGACCTACAACGAGGATAAATATTCAAGTGAATTATTAAAAAGCCTACGTCTATTCAAGGAAGATAGAAGGGTGCATTGTTCAAATATTCAAACAGGGCCAAACCCTACAGCCCCTAGGCATGAAATGATAGACACAAACAAAAAATGGTAGTAGCTCCACCTTGCCCTCTGATAGGCTTGGTAGGACTTTCACTGTACCAATCAAATCCTTTCAGATGTTCACAATTGCCAAGGAGGAAGGGGATAGGGTTGTTTCTGGACTGGTAAACATTCAAATAAATAAAGGTTAATCATTGTAATAATTTTGTCTGTGGGTGGCATGTCTACGCAGAAGGAAGTGCTTTATGCAAGTTCTGGTTTAACTTCCAAACTTTAAATATGCAAATCTGTAATAATTACAGTATAAATCCCAGGTCTCTGACTTCATGGTGTTGTGTAATTGGTGCTGTGACTTAGAGGGGATCCAACCTTACCTCGCTCATTACACAAGCAGCCAAATTCTGATATTTTTCCCACTAATTGGTCTTTTGACGAATCACATCAGCTCTTTTCACAACAGATCTTTTTCAGAGCTGATCTGATTGGTCAAAAGACAATTTATAGGAAGAAAAAATGTACACAGGCAGCCCAATTCTGATATTTTTTTCACTAATTGGTCTTTTGACCAATCAGATCAATTCTGAAATAGATCTGATGTGAAAAGATCTGATGTGATTCGTCAAAAGACCAATTAGTGGGAAAAAAATCAGAAATGGGCTGGCTGTATAAACGCAGCCTTAGAGACTTAGAGCTTAGAGTCAATGCTGTGAGAGGGAGGAAAGCCCTGTTTGCAGCTACATCCACCAGATAAAAAGAGTCAGTCTCAAAAGCCTTACAGACAAACCAACCAGACTCAGAGAAGACGGGGGTTGCAAGTTGTTCCTTGCGTTATATGCGCTAGATAACTACTGTACATCAGCGGGAGTCTGTGTGTATAGCAGAATTTCTCTGTGAGGTTATAAACTTTGCTTGACACAGCCAAGACTGTTTTTATGACTAACTCTGCATGCTCTGGCAATTAAATTGTGTTTACCAAAACAGAAGGTAGGAGGGGGGCTAGGAATAACAGCATTAAAATCTAATAACATCTGGGGAAATGTATTTATCGGAGCTCAAATTAATTAGGCTTCCAGTGCTACGTGGTAAATGTAGAGCTGTGCCAACGAGGGCGCCTCCTTGACAACAGTCAACAGGCTCTGAAAAACAGCCGTTCTGCTCCTGTGGAGAGCGTCTTGCTCAGTGGCATCCCAGTAGTCTTTGTTTGTATGTCTGTCTCTCTCTCTGTCTGTCTGTCTGTCTGTCTGTCTGTCTGTCTGTCTGTCTGTCTGTCTGTCTGTCTGTCTGTCTGTCTGTCTGTCTGTCTGTCTGTCAGTCAGTCAGTCAGTCAGTCAGCCTGGTCCATTGTTCGGTTGTCTGTTAGAGTGGAGGCAAATGGAGGAGCTCAGCCCTTCAGAGCCAGTCCAGCCCACAGCCTCTGCTTCTCCAGGTCTCACATTACCTGACACTAGCATTTCACCTGGACTCACGTTGGTGGCTCTCTGGTAACTAAGATACTCTCTGGTAACTAAGATACTAAGATAACTACTGGATGCATTTCTGCTAATACTGTCAGTTCCTTGGATTAGATCTAAAGGGCACCGGCCTATTGGTGTAAACTTGTGTTATTGTCATGTTACTACGTTTACTTTTTACAATTTAGTAATTTAACAGACGCTCTTAACTAGAGCGACTTACAGTAGTGGGTGCATACATTTTAACAGGCGCTCTTAACTAGAGCGACTTACGGTAATGGGTGCATACATTTTCGTACTACCATGTTATAATGATGGTATTACACTACTGACTGTCTCTGAAACCTCATTCTGACGCCTTCTAAAAAAGTAGGCCTACTATTGATAAATCTGAGGTTTGGTTTTGGAATTATGGTAACACCGTCCCAAAGAAGCATTTGATTCAACTAGATAAAACAAAGCAAGTAAAACTGCACTTCTATGATATCTACAGTACAGCATGCTAAAAAAGTAACACAATGGTGTTATTCAGTACTGTTATAGTAAGATTGAAGATGTAAAACGGAAGTATCGTTGCATTAGATTAATTGGCTTTATTTTCAGAAATGTTACAACACTGCAAATAAAACTCACAAACACAGCATAAACACTCGTACACACAATTCCACAAAGGCACTTGTTAACTAGACTGTGCCTCTGGTTGTCACATGATTGTGGGGGGATGCTACAGAAAGTTAAGTATCACAGGGGCCCAGGCCAGTCAGACGTCCACTCTGACCTGGACAACGCAGGAGGGAGGACATGTGGCTTTGGCCCTCTCTTCACCTGGCCGACAGGGGGCGCTCGGTGCAAAAATGTCTGCACAACCTCCTTATCTGTAAACACAACAACACATCAGTCAACATAAATACAGGGTGAAGTTTCCCTTAGGTACAGATCTAGGATCAGATTCCCCTGCCCCAATCCTAACCTTAACCATTAGTGGGGAAAATGCAAAACTGACCCAGTATCAGCATTTATTGGCAACTTCAAGCAACCAAACAGGGAAGTGATTTGTAACTAGGAGTATAGGGTCAGAGTTGATAATAAGAGTCCATAGCTCACCTTTGTCAGGTAGATGTCTGCAGAACTGCTGGAGCACTTGGGGTTGTAGAGAGCGGAGCACGGCCGAGACATCAGTCGTTTTCCCTCCAAAGTGTCTGTCGTAGGTGGTCAACTGGGACCTGTTCTCCTGGTTGTGGATGTGACCATGAACAACAGTAGGAACTGGAACAGAAAGGGGTGAGAGATACACTGAGAGCTCTAAGTGATTAGCCAGGTAGGTATTTTACCCCTGAGTTAAGCCATGAGCAACATTGTGCAGCGTGGGAAAATATTAAATGGCACCCTATTCCGTATATCAGGGATGGGCAACTTTGATGGGGGTGGGGGCCACAAAAAATCCGAACTCATCATGAGGGACCACAGTCTGCATACCAACATTCATACCCACACATGCAGTCAGAGCCAGCCCTCGCCTGTTGGAGGTCCTAGGCTACATTTTGTTGGGGGGGGCCCCACCTTGTGCATTTTAGAGTTAATTTCCTACACATTTTGTCATGGGTCATATAGATCATTTAGCAGTTTTAAAGCACATTTGCTGCAATTCAAATGAGTCTCTCGTGCCAGACGGCTTACTTCTGCACGTGAGACTAGATCTGGTCTATCAGGTACAGACGGCGCTAAAGCAAAAAGCAATAATTAACTTGTAAATAAATCATCGTAATAGTCATGGGAGCCTGGGACCTGATAAACCGGACAACTACCTCCAACAAGAGTCAAAGGACAGAGGGATAAACTAGCTAGAACTTTCTCATCGCGGATCTGGTAGGACAAAAAAGCATGGACAATTTGATTGTTTCCCCCCATGTTGTTCATCAGGTTCTACTGTAGGTGATAGGGCAACATGTTGTGTGGACTAAAACAGCAGAAAACCGGATGATTCACAAAGCATTATCAAATTAATTAGCCAGCTACAGTAATCTTGAGAAACAATTAGATTTTTTGGTCAAATTAACCAGTTATCTACCTCTGATAAGCAGCTAGCTAGCTATAGCTTTCTAGTTAGTTAGCTCCTATGCCGATTTCAATACTTTCTAAACGAATATCTGACTAAATCGGAAATATGAAGTTATTTCAGAATGAAAATTAACTGGCTAGCGCATCATGCTTTGTGACATTATGTTAGCTAGCTATCTCCAGTTAGATAATGTGTTTTCACTTATTGCATCTGTATGCTTGTTGCGTTCTCCCTAGTGCACTGGTCCATGAAGTGAAGTGAGCTGACTGCTCGTTCTAAATAGTATAATCTAATCTGTTGAAAACAGTGGCAGCATGTGCAGCAGTGGTCATTCAGTTTTTGACATGCAAAAGTGAAATAGGTGTATTTATGCTGTTGTTCAAATGCACAGATCGCTTTATATATCTTCTCAAAGAAACTACTGGTAGTTCAAAAACTTGGCATCATATTTCTGTCATGCTGCTTTGTTGACAACTCCAAGCACCTCGTGCCCCGGGTATTCAGCCAATCAGTGGCCACCACTGCCTTATAGGATGGCTCGTGTTTCCACTAGGTACAGATCTAGGATCAGCTTCCCCTCCCCCAATCCTAACCTTAACGATTAGTGGGGAAAATACAAAACTGACTCAAGATCACTGTCTAGGGGCAACTTCACTCTACTCATAGGATGCAGCCAGGCAGCCCATAACTTACCTATACCCTTGGGGGCCACGCCGTGCAGTGCGTTACTGCCGTAGCGAGACATGTTGCCCTGCAGTTCAGACTGTTGCCTGGGCTGGCGGTAGTTGTGCCTCATCTCTGTGTGCGTGCAGTGAGGGACTTGGCGTTTGTGGTTCAGCGGAGCGAGAATCGGGTGGTTCAACTGAAGTCCTGTAAAAAGACGGAAGTGTACAAGAGAAAAGTTGTAAGGGGAACGCTGTAAGGGGAAACAAACAACTAGAGTGAAGTTGTTCTGCTGTCTAATGCTCAAAGACAAAACCCCCCAAAACTCATAATTACCGGGATTCAATCAATTGCAGGTAATGGTTTCCAGATAGCGCTTTCAGAATTGCGCTTTAGTTCCACAGAAGAGTTATTTCGAAACTGAACCGTTACATGGCAAGACCTGTTAAGTTCGGACACAAACCTGGCTGAGAAGTCATCTAGTGCATGCAACTTCACTGATAATTATATTATGTGCAGTACAATTAAAAAACACTTCTGCTATCAGGAATAGCCCTATCTGATTGATTGATTGATTGATTGAATCCTGGTAAATATTTATTTGGGGGGGGTTCCGTCTTCAGTTTGAGCCACCTATAGTTGTTTTTTTCCCCTTACAGTTTCTGTAAGCCTACATATATTAGATATGTAATGTAATGTAATGTATATTATTACAGTATCATACTCTGTCATAGAGATACTCATGGTGGGGAGAACTTTGAAACAACCAGTACTTCGAAACAGGGTGTGGCTCTGGACAAAAGTTGTGTGGGTATAATTTCAGACACAGATCAGAGCCTATATTCATAAAGCCTCTCGGGGTAGGAGTGCTGATCTAGGATCAGTTTAGCCTTTTACAACTTAATGAATAAGATTACACGGAGAGGGGGGGAACCTGATCATAGATCAGCAATCCTACTCTAAGATGATTGACAGATATGCCCCCTGGTCTCTCTACCTTGAGGCATGCCCAGGTAGTCAGTTTGGTAGGTGGACCGGTACTGGGCAGTCAGAGCGTTTCGGATCTCTTCCTCAAAAGGAGGACTTTTCCAGGGGGACCAACCACATGCAGAGCTCTGCTTCAGGCCCTTGGGAAGTCGCCACACCATGAATGACTGGAAAACATTTATAATGTTTAGCACCTTTCATACAATACATCGCTGCCTAAAGAGTTTAGAATTATAAGTAATTAAGGATAGAGGGACTGTGGTGATGTGATTTGAAGGAGTCAGGCACAGGAGGGTAAATCACAGAATAACAGGATTATTCCGTTGACACAGCGGTACGCAGCAATGCGTCAAACACTCAAGTGCGGAAATATACAGCGCACTGGAAACAACAAGGCACACGGGTGAATATCCCGGCGATACAAAATACAAGCGCTCCACCGAGCTAAACTAACCTCCAAAATAAACAATCACACACAAAGACAAGGGGGCAGAGGGAACACTTATACAGGTACTGGTGAGGGGAATTGAAACCAGGTGTGTGTAATAAACAAGACAAAACAAATGGAATGATGAGATGAGGAGCGGCAGTGGCTAGAAGACCGGTGACGACGAACGCCGAAGCCTGCCTGAACAAGGCAAGGAGGCAGCTTCGGAGGAAGTCGTGGCAGGTACAATAATAAGAACGTAGTAATAACAGGGATGCTTCACAGATGGCACCCTGCACTCTTAGGATTTTTTTTTATATCAAATCAAATCAAATTGTATTGGTCACATACAGCGAAATGCTTGTGTTCCTAGCTCCAACAGTGCAGTAGTATCTAACAATTCACAACAATACACAAATCTAAAAATAAAATAATGGAATTAAGAAATATATAAATATTAGGACGAGCAATGTCTGAGTGGAATTGACTAAAATACAGTAGAATAGAATACAGTATATACATATGAGATGGGAAAAGCAGTTTGTAAACATTATTAAAGTGACATTATTAAAGTGACTAGTGTTCCATTATTAAAGTGGCCAGTGATTCCATGTCTATGCATATAGGGCAGCAGCCTCTAAGGTGCAGGGTTGACTAGCCGGGTGGTAGCCGGCTAGTGATGGCTATTTAACAGTCTGATGGCCTTGAGATAGAAGCTGTTTTTCAGTCTCTCGGTCCCAGCTTTGATGCACCTGTACTGACCTCGCCTTCTGGATGATAGCGGGGTGAACAGGCCGTGGCTCGGGTGGTTGATGTCCTTGATGATCTTTTTGGCCTTCCTGTGACATCGGGTGTTGTAGGTGTCCTGGAGGGCAGGTAGTTTGCCCCCGGTGATGCGTTCGGCAGACCGCACCACCCTCTGGAGAGCCCTGCGGTTGTGTGCGGTGCAGTTGCCGTACCAGGCGGTGATACAGCACGACAGGATGCTCTCAATTGTGCATCTGTAAAAGTTTCTGAGGGTCAAGCCAAATTTCTGTTGCTCCTTCTTCACCACACTGTCTATGTGGGTGGACCATTTCAGATTGTCAGCCCGAGGAACTTGAAGCTTTCCACCTTCTCCACTGCGGTCCCGTCGATGTGGATAGGGGCGTGCTCGCTCTGCTGTTTCCTGAAGTCCACGATCAGCTCCTTTGTTTTGTTGACGTTGAGGGAGAGGTTATTTGCCTGGCACCACTCCACCAGGGCCCTCACCTCCTTCCTGTAGGCTGTCTCATCATTGTTGGTAATCAGGCCTACCACTGTTGTGTCGTCTGCAAACTTGATGATTGAGTTGGAGGCGTGCTTGGCCACGCAGTCATGGGTGAACAGGGAGTACAGGAGGGGCTGAGCACGCACCCTTGTGGGGCCCCAGTGTTGAGGATCAGCGAAGTGGAGGTGTTGTTTCCTACCTTCACCACCTGGGGGTGGCCCGTCAGGAAGTCCAGGACCCAGTTGCACAGGGCAGGGTTCAGACCCAGGGCCCCGAGCTTAATGATGAGCTTGAAGGGTACTATGGTGTTGAAGGCTGAGTTATAGTCAATGAACAGCACTCTTACATAGGTATTCCTCTTGTCCAGATGGGATAGGGCAGTGTGTAGTGCGATGGCGATCGCATCGTCTGTGGATCTTTTGGGGCGGTGAGCAAATTGAAGTGTGTCTAGGGTGTCAGGTAAGGTAGAGGTGATAAGATCCTTAACTAGAATCTCAAAGCACTTCATGATGACAGAAGTGAGTGCTACGGAGCGATAGTCATTTAGTACAGTTACCTTTGCTTTCTTGGGTACAGGAACAATGGTGGACATCTTGAAGCAAGTGGGGACAGCAGACTGGGACTTTACTAAATACTTCATGTCCAGAGGATTGAGTGTGGATGTGGCTCTGTACCTGACTGGGATGTGGGTTGTTCCTCCTGTTCCCAGAGGCTGATCCTGTGCGAATGCTGTCAGGTTTAGCGGCTGGCTTCCAACAGAATTCCTCATTGTACACAGTGGCGCCCACAGGACCTGCTAGAGCATAGGAGTTTATATAGGCTCTTGTCGTTGTAGGACTGAAAAGGATTTCACAAATGGGGAAAATGTATAGTAAGCCATAGCCTAAATGTGAATAATATAAACAATATAATGAAATGGAAATTAATTCATGAATAGTCAATAATCTTTTCAGGCCTACGGTAAAACTGGTGTTGATGAACTGGGTCGATAAATAAAATCTCTTTTCTGAGATGTTTCATATGGGTCCCACTCCCACATTTGTCTGTCATCTGAAATATCAAATATCAAGTTAATAGACAATATCGAATTTAAATCAGTATAAAGGGGCGGTTTCCCGGGCATAGTCCTAAAAAGTGCAGGACTACGCTCAGAGTCCGAGAAACCGCCCCAAAAAGTCTAATGCCTGGTAATCTGAGGCAACTCACCCACGGCTGCCATGGCTGTTTTCGCTCGTGATAAAACGTTTCCAGAAATCTGAATATTTTGGTTATTGGGCGTGATGTCTGGAGACAAATGCACAGATCTCTTCTCCAACTCTGCCTGGGATGGATGTGTCAGGCAAATTTGTCGAGCATCCGTTTGATGATGCTCTGGGACAGTTCCGTGGTGCTTAAATGACAAGTGAAAGAAAGTCATGAAAAATACGCAACCAATGTAATTTTACCTAATAACAATTATGACGTCAGAAATGATGACACCTCAGTTGTAGGCCTACCCGGTCCGCAGGATTCGTCATCTTGAGTTTGCATTGTTAAATTTGGACTGTCTAGAAAACTTGATTTCAGGGCTCCGTAGTGTGCCACTGGGTGCGAGTGTGTGCTGGAGGCCTTGGTTGTTATAGGAGATGCACAACAATACCTGTGAATTACACAATAGCCGCGAGGGCAATGTGATGATTGATGCTGTGCTGTCTGGGGGGCTTGGACCCACATGAAAGATTCAGCATCACGCTTGGCTAGGTGCACCAAGGGCGGTAGACTGGGTTACTGGTGGTTACACTGTTTTATTAAAGGCTATCTCTGTTTTATTACAGCCTGCGGAATAGGCTATGTTGTTGTGTTTGCAAGTGTCCGTTTTATGTTCTGTAAGAGGCCATACATGTGAATGCAATCACAGCAACTCTCCATCAATGGCCAGCGGTTATGATGATCTGTTGTGGGGCCATATAATACAGCCAATGTGTGGGGCAGACCAGGGAACAAACTAACACTTTTTGGAGTTGCTTTTTAAAATATTATTTACAAATATTTCCAAATTTGACACAAACAAATGTGCCTGCTATAGTCAAAGCAGCTATCAGCAAACCAAAGCCAACTCCTTAACTGTTACCTCCAAGACGTCCGAACCTCCTAATGAGGTTCCTATGTGTCACTACAGTATTTTACAACCTCTTTTCTTTGCTTTTGCTCTTGCAAAGATGTCTTAATCTTCAGAAATCTAAATTTTATGCACGCAACTGCTGACAAAAACTCGTCTAGAAAGACGAGATGACCATATCCCAAAGCCCATCACAACCTCTCCAATAAGTGTATGTTTGATTGATTAATATAAATTATATTTTACTTGCCCTTTTTCTTTGATTTTGCAGAGGTTTCAGAGGTTTTAACGATGTATTCATTTCGGCCGAACTGAAACATTGAGGGAGTTCGATTATGCTGAACTGCGGTGCACCAGTCTATGGCCCGTGACATGAACGGGCCAATCAATCATTATAAACTGGGTTGTTCGAGCTCTGAATGCTGATTGGCTGACAGCCGTAGTATATCAGACCGTATACCACAGGTATGACAAAACATTTATTTTTACTGCTCCAATTACGTTGGTAACCAATTTATAAAATCAATAAGGCACCTCAGGGGTTTGTGGTATATGGCCAATATACCACGGCTAAGGGCTGTATCCAGGCACTCCGCTTTGCGTCGTACATAAGAACAGCCCTTAGCCATGGTATATTGACCATATACCACACTCTCTCATGCCTTATTGCTTAATTATAAAACGGGTTGTTTGGATCCTGGATGCTGATTGGTTGATATGCGTGCATTTTTTGTCTTTTATTTTTAGTAGTGCACTGGGCCTTTACTAGTCCTGTATTAGCGGACTGATATAGCCTTCTGTAGCACAGGCAAACATCCTGCAGTCAGTTTGCCAACTGCGCGCTCCTTCAAAACTTGAGACATCTGTGGCATTGTGGTGTGTGACAGAACTGCACATTTTAGAGTGCCCTTTTATTGTCCCCAGCAAAAACCTGTGTAATGATTATGCTGTTTAATCAGCTTCTGTCAGGTGGATGGATTATCTTGGCGAAGGAGAAATGCTTGTTCATATAGAACATTTCTGGGATCTTTTATTTCAGCTCATGAAATATGGGACCAACACTTTACATGTTGCGTTTATATTTTTGTTCAGTGTAGTTTGACCAGCTGTTTTCAGCAACTGATATTTTTGAATTTGATTGTCATTTTGGCAGGTTTGCTAGCAACAAACTATTTAGCTAGCGTCTACCTAGTGTTTGATATGCAATTCGATCTCCTTGTAATGAACAGTGTTGAGTGTCCTGATGAGAAGGCAACATTTTCTAGCTATACCAGGCAAAATCGGGCATTATCAGCACATTGTTATGGATTTATCCAAATGAATGTCAATAGAAAACAACTACTTTGCTGTTATTCTGGCAGCAGAGGTCATGAATGTGTTAGCCTTAGCTAGGGGATAAGAACGTTGCCAGACACCATGGCAACAGAACATAAAGAACGAACGACTGGTTCACATCCATAAATATCGAACTTATCAAACGAACGTCTTGGGTCGCATCTCTAGCAACCAAAAGCTGAGAAAGTATGAATTTGCTTATATAAATGAAAATATCAAAGATGTAAAAAAAAATCTACCGGTAGATGTGTGCTGATATTGTTTTTTTTGGTAACTGTGGTATAAGCGGGATAAACAGCTTAAACAAACGCAACGCAATAAACGTTGCTGTTATTCTGGCTGCAGAGGTCGTGACTGTGTTGTCAACCATAACATATATGTTTGAATTTTCAAATTAGTTTTCATTGGGAAGGTATAATCAACAAGGGGCTATGCGTTCTCTGGAAAATAATGAACGAGGTGGAAGTTGTGTTCCACGACGCGCTCATTTGCAGGGACAAATGTGTTCAACATCCACTGAAGTAGCTACACTAGCAAGTTTACTATATAGTGACAGTAGTTGTCTTGGTAACCAAAAAACAGACTTGGCAGTTTAGCTAACCAAACCTTCAGTCCTAGCTTGCTATTATGAAAATCAAATTCAACAATACCAATAATGTTTTCAATTCGACTTTTGCTTTCAAAAGCAGCTCAAACATAGAACATGTAAGAATGATCTACAGCCATTGAATTCTACCATGCAAATATACTGTGCCTTATTTAAGCAATAAAGCCTGAGGAGGTGTGGTATATGGCCAATATACCACGGCTAAGTGCTGTTCTTATGCACGACGCAACGCGGAGTGCCAGGACACAGCCCATAGACGTGGCACATTGGCCATATATCACAAACCCCAGAGGTGACTTATTGCTATTATAAACTGGTTACCAACGTAATTAGAGCAGTAAAAATAAATATTGTGTCATACCCATGGTATACAGTCTGATATACCACAGCTTTCAGCCAATCAGCATTCAGGGCTAGAACCACCCAGTTTATAAAGGGAAATAATGCACCTCTAGAATGCTCTTCAAGCCAATCAGAAACATGTATTCAACAATGCCATGGTATAATGCTCATTACTCCACGTGCTCAATACTACTACATCCCTTTTGTTTTGAGCCGACTTCGCCATCGGCCAGAGCTAGGTGGCCATAGCCGGGCACCTGGCTCACGCCCCGGAGGCAGCCCGTTTCCAAAACGAATGCAATGACCTTTCACCTGGTGCAAACTCCTTCTACAGGGGCAACCTGCGCCAAATAATCGAATCCCCTCAAACTCTGAAGTGTCTAGAAAGACGACCAATCATTCGACATCTCCAGTAAGAGATGTGGAAAGCAAGCGCCCAATCAGACGCTCCAATGAGTTGGCGGCAGCCAATAGGAGCCACAATGTATGCAGACATCGCACAGCGAAAATACCGCTCATCGAAGCTGGCTAGCATCGTCCCATTACCGTTCTCCTAGCAGCAGGATATTATGCTGGCACCACGATCGAGGGATGTAAACAAAAAATAAGAGTCCCCTTGCAAAGACAAGCTAAACTTTGAGAAATCGATTATTTTGTTGGCATGCTAGCGCAGTACAACTGTTTTCACAGTATTGCAACCACCTTTGAAAACAATTCATGGATAATTTGACATTCTTTTATTTATAATATTGTAATATTTATACCAGCATTTCTTTAGAATGTTTACACCAATACTGGTATGTTGAAAGCTATATTTAAAGAAATATATGTAATTAGAATTATTCAATAGAGTCTGCAAAACATAAATTGGTCTCTTGTGCTGACCAACGGATTTAATACAGAGTGCTGGTGACTCCTTACTCCACCCACTCCATTCACTGTATATTAATTACATATTGGCTCATAAAGAAAACAAATATTACATGTGCCAAGGTAAAAGTGGGGTTGGGATTACTCATTAGGGTCTGTAGAATCTATATATAGTGTTATTTCTTGGATGACTGTGGTTTATATATGCAGCATCACTTTCTAATCCACCCATTCCATTGGTCCCAAAGCAATACACTGTAGGCTTATAAATGACATATTGATTTATAGAGAAAAAACGATTCTATATGCCGAAGTAAACGTGTGGTTGGGATTACTCAGTAGGGTCTGTAGAATCTATATATAGTGTCATTGACTTACTCTACTTTTGATCTACAGTCCAAAAGGTATTGGGTGTTTCAAAAACAGTGTATTGCGCTGTGGCCAATGGAGTGGGTGGAGTAGAAAGTGCTGCTAGGGATTTATACCTCAGTCCACCAAGAAATAACAACCTATACACTGAGTGTACAAAACAATAAGGACACCTGCTCTTTCCATGACATAGACTGACCAGGTGAATCCAGGTGAAAGCTATGATCCCTTATTGATGTCATTTGGTAAATCCACTTCAATCAGTGGAGATGAAGGGGAGGAGACAGGTTAAAGAATGATTTTTAAGCCTTGAGACAATTGAGACATTGATTGTGTATGTGTGCCATTCAGAAGGTGAATGGGCAAGACACAAAATGTAAGTGCCTTTGAACGGGGTATGGTAGTAGGTGCCAGGCGGGCCCAGGCACACCGGTTTGTGTCAAGAACTGCAACGCTGCTGGGTTTTTCACGCTCAATATAGTTTTCCATGTGTATCAAGAAAGGTCCACCACCCAAAGGACATTCAGCCAACTTGACACAACTGTGGGAAGCATTGGAGTCAACATGGGCCAGCATCACTGTGGAATGCTTTCGACACCTTGTAGAGTCCATGCCCTGACAAATTGAAGCTGTTCTGAGGGCAAAAGTGGGGGTGCAACTCAATACTAATGTTTTGTACACTCAGGGTATAGATTATACAGACCCTACTGAGTAATCCTAATCACACTTTTACTTTGGCACATAGAATCTTTTTTTCTCTATAAGCCAATATGTAATTTATAGGCCTATAGTGTATTGTATTGGGACCAATGGAGTGGGTGGAGTACAGAGTGCTGCTAGATATTTAGACCTCAGTCGGCCAAAAAATAACACTATATACAGTGGTGTAAAGTACTTAAGTAAAAATACTTGAAAGTACTACTTAAGTCGTGTTTTGGGGTATCTGTACTTTACTTTACTATTTATATTTTTGACAACTTTTACTTTTACTTCACTACATTCCTAAAGAAAATTATGTACTTTTTACTCCATACATTTTCCCTGACACCCCTGGCTATCCGTAAATTTAAAAAACAAGAAAATGGTGCCGTCTGGTTTGCTTAATATAAGGAATTTGAAATGATTGATACTTTTACTTTTACTTTTGATACTTAAGTACATTTAAAACCAATTACTTTTAGCCTTTTACTCAAGTAGGATTTTACTGGGTGACTTTCACTTTTACTTGAGTCATTTTCTAATAAGATATCTTTACTTTTACTCAAGTGTGACAATTGGGTACTTTTTCCACCACTGACTATATATAGATTCTACAGACCCTACTGAGTATTCCCAAACCCACTTTTACCTCAGCACGTATAATTGTTTCTTCTCTAAATCACAATGTTGAGAACATACCAATCTGGACATTGTATTTTTCGATAGTGGTCTTACATGTTTTTTGTAATTGTTTCCATAAAGTCCTTCTTGCATTTGCTTATAAGCACAATAAAAATCGAATTTACATGTATTATCTCTTGAATTAGTTCTCCACATTGCTGTCAGGGGGAGACTCCTAGGAACTAGTGAAAGATGGTGGAAGCTGGAGCAGGTGGTGAACTTGAAACTAATGGCGGTAAAAGCAAGAAGGACAATGGTCCAAAAGAATGGAAAAAGGACCAAAGTAGTGCAGGAAAACAAATTGGAATTCTCTGCGAATGCCCCTTCTTATCTTGTAGTAGTGTGGTTTGTTGAGGAGGGGCGGATCCATTCGAAATATCCAAAAAAAGAGTGATGGGTAAAGTAAATGCAGTAAGGATTACGAGAAGTGGACTTGTTTTGATTTAGTGAACTTCTGATAAGCAGAAAGAGCTTGTGTTGCGTTGTACTCGAGTCGAGAATGTTGTCGTGTCGTGCGTAGCTCTTCGGAGCAGGGCACCCCTCAAGGGAGTAATATCTGCCGTTTCGTGGGAAGTCGAATTGGAAGAAATGAAAAATATCCCTGGAGTGATTGATGCACGTCGGATGAATTGAGTAGTTGATGGAGAGAACGTGAAGAGTATCTGTTCTTTTGTTTTTTGAAGCGGAGTCCCTCCATATCGAGGTGAAGTTGGGGTATATTAATTATTGTGTAAGAGCGTTTGTCCCAAGATTGTGATCGTTGTAGTGCCTTTGAACATGTGGAAAGTGTTTGTAGAAGAAATAAGCCACGGTGTGAAAGTTGTGGAGAAGATCATATTGAGTGTGGTTCGAGTTTTGATCATGTGAAATGTTGCAATTGTGGAGGGAACCATGTTGCCTCATCATTGGAATGCCCGATGAGGGTGAAGGAAAATGGCTAAAGTCAGGGCCAACCAGAACATTTCATATGCAGCGGCTGTCAAAAGGGTTGAGGGAGCGAATGGTCCTGAAGAGTCCACGGTGGTGGATAGGCCTTCACTGCAGGCTACAGGGTTTGACTCTCATCAGCAGGACCCAAATATTATACAGGTTAAGAAGGTGAACTTAGTACTCTTTATGTCTATGGTGATCAACGGCACTGCCAAAGTGGAGAAAAGTCTAGAAAGATGGACATCATTGTGGATGCGGCAGAGCGGTTTCTGAGATTGGAGGACTTCTCAGCGAAGGAGTTACATGAAAGGCTGTCAGGTGCTGTACTACCCTCAGGCCCCAGAGCCGGACTGGGAAGACATGGAACTTTGAAGAATGGAAGAAGCGGGAGTCTGTTTTGCTTTGTTTTGTCTACTATTTTAGTTGTGAGGAGTAAAGTTAGTTTTCCCCCATCAAATATGTTTGTTTTTTAAACTTTGAATACAGTAGTGGGCGGCAATACAACGTTTTGGATGTTGTCTGCCCTAAAACCCTAGCCTCATATGAACCATCCTGATCTGGCGAGCTTACATTCTGTTTCGCTAAATTAGGATGGTTCGTACAAGGCTACTAAAACCACTGAGGTAAATAAGAATTGGAGACTGTGTCCAAGATGTCTGCCCGTTGTTTTCAAGGTAATCTACTGACATTTGCATACGCTGATTCATTGACCGTCTATATCCGGGTTGCATCCGGTTTATATGGACCAGCATTTGCATCCAGTTTATACGACCAACATCACAGAGAGCAGCGCGAGCAGCGAAAAACATGGCAGACGTTGGATGAATATAAACGTATTTTAATAATTCAATGGATGTTTTGTGCACTAAAGTGTTTTATTAGGAATTTTCAAATCTAACATCTCTATGTGGCCCTGAATGGAAATTGTATTTCTGTGCCGGGCATCTGCAGTACGGAAGCAAAACTGTAGGAGCAGTCGAAACCGTTCTTCTAGACCGGAACCCTGGCCACTTGACAAAAACCCCACCGAAGAAGAAGATCCACATTTCAATGTTTAGAAATGCGTGCTTTTATTTTGAAGGATTCTATATTACCATATGAAAGTGACGTCATTGTTTGTGCTACTAGCAGAATATTAATCATTGTCCCATTGTTGTTTGTTGAAGCGTAACGTTAGCTGGCTAGCTAACTGACGGTATGTATTTACACCCAAAATATTTGCAAGAATATATAGCGAATTATGGGAAATAAGAACATGGCAATTATTTATTTTTGTTCAAATAATTTGTGTATTGTGCTGAGCATTCTTAAAACATTCGCTTGCTAACTAGCTATGTAAATATGGGCTAACAAAAGACCGCAAACGACCGCTAGCCAGCACATTTATCAGGCACCACCTAAAACATCTTCATGACTTCAATAACGTTAGTTGGTTTTAAAAACTAATGGAAGCCAGACATATCTAACTAGCTATACTGTATTACATCTAGCTTGCTATCTAGCTAACGTTAGTTATTTTTGCTCTAGCTAGCTGCTAGCTGTGGCTAACAAACAAGCAAGCCCGTTGCGTTGACATTAGCTAACGTTAACAGAGCATCTTGATTTTCTTTGCTGTAACGTAGCTGGTTGTTTTTGTTTTGTCCCATTTTATACGATTCAGATTTGAGGTCTTCATTTTTCTTTTGCAACACTAACACGTTAGTTAGCTATAACGGCTCACTAGCGCACTGCATGGCTAGTTAGCTAGCTATTAACGTTACCTACGACACAACAATGGGATGGATCCATGATAGCTAGCTAGTAATTCTATGCTGTGTTTTGGTGTTCAGAGGGGGCTGGATTCGAAGCTAGCAACTGCCATTGTAGCTTGCTAGTTACACCAGCCCTCTGCATAATCGCACCTTTAATTAGTTGCAAACAGTAGCAAAAAAGGTTTTGCAGTCATGCAGCTAGTTACCATTATTAGCGATTACAAATGTTTATTTTCAAGAAAGGGCGAGACAAATGTGCACGCCCCCATTCTTTGTTATGGGAAGCTAGGGGACACTCATTGAATATGGCCAAAGCTCAGGGTGAATTTGTCCTTGTTATGTTTTTGAAACTGTATGTATATCCTCTCCTACTAGACCTACACAAGTCACCATGGGGAAAGATCCTAGGAAGCCGAGAGGCAAGATGTCCTCATATGCTTACTTCGTGCAGACCTGCAGGGCTGAGCACAAGAAGAAACACCCCGAAGGCAGTGTCAACTTCGCTGAGTTCTCCAAGAAATGCTCAGAGCGATGGAAGGTAGCATTACACACCAGTGAATGATTGTGAAGTGACATGTTTCTGGTACATATTCAGAATGGTTATGGATTTATTTCCACCTTGGTATGTTTTGTTACACTTGAGTGACCTTGTGGCCATGTAGATGTGTAATCTGAATTTATACCTCTACATCCAGCCCTTGTCTCCTAAAGAAAAAGGCAAGTTTGAAGACATGGCAAAGCAAGACAAGGTCCGCTATGAGAGCGAAATGAAGAACTACATCCCACCCAATGGCCAGAAAAAGAAGAGGTTTAAGGATCCCAATGCCCCCAAGAGACCGCCGTACGTACCATCATTTACTGGGTTTGCATGGCAGACTGGATAGCAATTCTAGAGGCGAATTAAACTTCCCTGTGAATTTACATTGTTTTCTTTTGTTTTTGTTTCTCAGGTCTGCGTTCTTCATCTTCTGTGCTGACTTCCGTGCCAAGATAAAGAGTGAGCACCCAGGCCTGTCCATCGGAGACACTGCTAAGAAGCTGGGAGTGATGTGGAACAGCTCTGCAGCTGAGGAGAAGAAGCCATACGAGAAGAAGGCTGCCACGCTGAAGGAGAAATACGACAAGGTTAGCAGGGCTCTATTACAACTTACAGAGATGGGCTTTTCACGGACTGGAATTCCTGCTTTTCTGGATTATCCTCTATTCAATAGTCATTGTCACAATGTAATTAACCAACATTTGAAGCATATTTCTTGGACAATTGCTCTTTTGGATCGCAATTTGAGAATTCAGTGTGGGAAAAGTACACTTAATTTGCCCGCTTTAAAATAGTATGTCGGCAGATATATCGGTATTGGATCCAAACATATCAGTCGGGCTCTATAAATAATTATGTTATGTCCCACAGGATATCGCATCATACCGCACCAATGGTAGAGTGGATACGGCCTCCTCCGCAGCTGCTGATGACGAAGAGGAGGAGGAGGAAGAAGACGACGACGATGAGGATGATGACGAGTAGCCTCCCTGCTGTTGGAGCTTACATTCTTGTTTAATGCTATGTAACCCTAATGTACACACCTTACATCTCCAAACAGACCCAGATGCAACGAGAACACATGAATTAGGCAGTGTGTATATTTAATGTTTTAATGATGGGTGGTGTTACGCTCCCTAACTGGTTAAAGTTAACACTACATGTCTTGTTTTTTGTTATTTTGTTGTTGTTGCCCTTGCCTGTAACTGCTTTGGAGGATTATACATCAGTATGGAAGTAATACATTATCTTTAGGTGTGCATCTCTCAAAGTAATACATTATCTTTAGGTGTGCATCTCTCAAATCAGATTTCTGGGAGCTAGTGTCATTTTTTGTTTCTGTATTTGTTTTAAAGGATATTTTTTCATATGTTTGTCACAAGGTCTTTTTATTGTTCTTTGAATACCACTCTGATAACAAATGCAGCTGACATTCAGGAATGTCTTAAATAAAGGTCTTTTTTAAAATAATTGTTTTTGTTGTTTATTTGAAGATTTACCATAAGCTACATAAGGCATTAGGTTGACTTCGATAAATATTTACACAGTACATGCAGTGCCTTCAGAAAGTATTCATACCTCTTGAATTATTCCACATTTTGTTGTGTTAAAGCCTGAATTCAAAATGATTTTTAAAAATGTTTTACCTATCTGCACACAATACCCCATAATGACAAAGTGAAAACATGATTGTATACATTTTAGCACATTTATTGAAAGTGAAATATGGAAATATCTCATTTACATGGGTATTCACACACCTGAGTCAGTACATGTTAGAATCACCATTGGCAGTGATTACAGCTTTGCTGGATTGTACAATATTTGCCCATTATTCTTAAAACAATTCTTCAAGCTCTGTCAAGTTGGTTGCTGACCATTGCTAGACAGACATTTTCAAGTCGATTTAAGTTTAAATTAACTAAGACACTCAGGAACATTCAATGTCGTCTTGATAAGCAACTCCAGTGTATATTTGGCCTTGTGTTTTAGGGTATTGTCCTGCTGAAAGGTTAATTTTTCTCCTAGTGTCTGTTGGAAAGCAGACAGAACCAGGTTTTCCTCTAGGATTTTGCCTACTCCGTTTATTTTTATCCTAAAAACACTCCCTAATCCTTACCGATTACAAGCATACCCATAACATGATGCAGCCACCACCATGCTTAATATGAAGAGTGGTACTCAGTGATGTGTTGTGTTGGATTTGCACCAAACATAACGCTTTGTATTCAGGACATAAAGTTAATTTCTTTGCCACATTATTTTGCAGTTTTACTTAAGTGCCTTATTGCAAACAGGATGCATGTTTTGGAATATTTGTATTATATACAGGCTTTCTTCTTTTCACTCTGTCATTTAGGTTAGTATTGTGGAGTAACTACAATGTTGTTGATCCATCCTCAGTTTTCTCCTATCACAGCCATTCAACTCTGTAACTGTTTTATAGTCACCATTGGCCTCAAGGTGAAATCACTGTGCGGTTTCCTACCTCTCCGGCAACTGAGTTAGGAAGGACGCCTGTATCTTTGTAGTGACTGGGTGTATTGATATACCAGCCAAAGTGTAATTAATAACTTCACCATGCTCAAAGGGATATTCAATGTCTGCTTTTTTTTTCTTCACCCATCTACCAATAAAACAGTTGCAGATTAATGGCTGTGATAGGAGAAAACTGAGGATGGATCAACAACAGTTTAGTTACTCCACAATACTAACCTAAATGACAGAGTGAAAAGAAGGAAGCCTGTACATAAAGAAGCATTTGCAAGGCATTGGAAAACCTCCCTGGTCTTTGTGGTTGAATCTGTGTTTGAAATTCACTGCTCGACTGAGGGACCTTACAGATAATTGTATGTGTGGGGTACAGAGATGAGGTAGTCATTCAAAAATTATGTTAAACGCTATTATTGCACACAGAGTGAGTCCATGCAACTTATTATGTGACGTGTTTAGCAAATTTGTACTCCTGAACCTATTTAGACTTGCCATAACAAAGGGGTTGAATACTTACTGACTCAAGATATTTCAGCTTTTTATTAATTTGTAAACATTTCGAAAAGCATAATTCCACTTTGACAGTATGGGGTATTGTGTATAGGCCAGTGACACAACATCTCAATTTAATCCATTAAAATGTAGGATGTAACACAACAAAATGCGGAAAAAGTCAAGGGGTGTGAATGCTCTCTGAAGGTAGTATAGATTTCATATGACCATTTAAAATCAAGGTTATCATCTGAAATTATTGAATCTAATTTTAAAAAATGATCTAATAAATATACAGTATTAACCATCTACCAGGTTATATTTTTGTGATCGAGTTGCACAATAATGGCAGTAGAATACAAGTGAATGTCAGTACTATGCAAGTCCAGTTGGTGGTGCCCTTTATGGAAAGGTAGGTTTGCCACCCAAAGAAGATATGGAGAAGGACACATGAGAAGGAGATGAACATGGCAGGACCACCAAGAATTCACAGCGTTTGCTGGAGATGCACTGTTGAGGCCCATTTCTCCACTATGAGCTGGAAGGAATAAAAAAAATAATTTGCTGCTTTCTTTGTAATGTGTTTTGTTACGAATGCCTGACTTAATTATGTCAATTTGTGCAAAATTCCCACTGTTAGAGTTATAAAGACTACTTGTAATTCTTCTCTCTCTCTCTCTCTCTCTCTCTCTCTCTCTCTCTCTCTCTCTCTCTCTCTCTCTCTCTCTCTCTATCTCTCAGGAGGATCATGTATCTCCATTCGGCTCTTTATTCCCAGTGGGTGTGCCCTTTCCCACACAAAGACAATTCTCTCAAACTTAAAGGTTGCAATTAATATATCTGTGAAGTATCCACCCTTTCTGTAATTTCCCAAACATAAAAAAGAGGACATATTGTACACTGCAGTAGTAAGGGTGCGCAAAACAGGAAATGCTGGGAAAAGGAATTATATTATGGTCTGAATTATCTCTATCTTTATCGTTAACATGTGTCTCTCTACCTGTAATTAACAAACGGTGGCAGTGTGAGTGCAGAAAGTGGAAAAGGTTGCCAATGGTGAGAGATATGGGAATTAGGTTGATGCATTTAAAGTGTCTTAAGAAAATATTCACACCCCTTGACTTTTCCCACATTTTGTTGTATTACAGCCTGAATTTAAAATGTATTAAATTGGGATTATGTGTCACTGATCTACACACAATACCCCATAATGAAAAGCTGAAATGTCTTGAGTCAATAAGTATTCAACCCTTTTGTTATGGAAAGCCTAAATAAGTTCAGGAGTACAAATCTGCAAGTCACATAATAAGTTGCATGGACTCACTCTGTGTGCAATAATAGTGTTTAACATGATTTTTAAATGACTGCCCCATCTCTGTACCCCACACATACAATTATGTTCAATTAAGGTCCCTCAGTCGAGCAGTGAATTTCAAGCACAGATTCAACCACAAAAACAAGGGAGGTTTTCCAATGGTCCGCAAAGAAGGGCACCTATTGGTAGATGGGTAAAACAAAATCAGACTTTGAATATCCCTTTGAGCATGGTGCAGTTATTAATTACACTTTGGATGGTTTCAATACACCCAGTCACTACAAAAATACAGGTGTCCTTCCTAACTCAGTTGCTGGTGATTTTAAAACAGTTACTGAGTTGAATTGCTGTTATAGGATATACCGGAGGATGGATCAACAACATTGTAGTTACAGTGGCTTGTGAAAGTATTCACCCCCCATGGCATTTTTCCTTTTTTGTTGCCTTACAACCTGGAATTAAAATTGATTTTTGGGGGGTTTGTATCATTTGATTTACACAACATACCTACCACTTTGAAGATGCAAAATATTTTTTGTTGTGAAACAAACAAGAAATAAGACAAAAAACCGGAATAACTATTCAACCCCCCCCAAAGTCAATACTTTGTAGAGCCATCTTTTGCAGCAATTACAGCTGCAAGTCTCTTGGGGTATGTCTCTATAAGCTTGGCACATCTAGCCACTGGGATTCTTGCCCATTCTTCAAGGCAAAACTGCTCCAGCTCCTTTAAGTTGGATGGGTTCCGCTGGTGTACAGCAATCTTTAAGTCATACCACAGATTCTCAATTGGATTGAGGTCTGGGCTTTGACTAGGCCGTTCCAAGGCATTTAAATGTTTCCCATTAAACCGCTCAAGTGTTGCTTTAGCAGTATGCTTAGGGTCATTGTCCTGCTGGAAGGTGAACCTCCGTCCCAGTCTCAAATCTCTGGAAGACTGAAACAGGTTTCCCTCAAGAATTTCCCTGTATTTAGCGCCATCCATCATTCCTTCAATTCTGACCAGTTTCCCAGTCCCTGCCGATGAAAAACATCCCCACAGCATGATGCTGCCACCACCATGCTTCACTGTAGGGATGGTGTTCTCGGGGTGATGAGAGGTGTTGGGTTTGCGCCAGACATAGCGTTTTCCTTGATGGACAAAAAGCTCAATTTTAGTCTCATCTGACCAGAGTACCTTCTTCCATATGTTTGGGGAGTCTCCCACATGCCTTTTGGCGAACTTATTATTTTCTTTAAGCAATGGCTTTTTTCTGGCCACTCTTCCGTAAAGCCCAGCTCTGTGGAGTGTACGGCTTAAAGTCGTCCTATGGACAGATACTCCAATCTCAGCTGTGGAGCTTTGCAGCTCCTTCAGGGTTATCTTTGGTGTCTTTGTTGCCTCTCTGATTAATGCCCTCCTTGCCTGGTCCATGAGTTTTGGTGGGCGGCCCTCTCTTGGCAGGTTTGTTGTGGTGCCATATTCTTTAAATTTTTGAATAATGGATTTAATGGTGCTCCATGGGATGTTCAAAGTTTCTTATATTTTTTATAACCCAACCCTGATCTGTACTTCTCCACAACTTTGTCCCTAACCTGTTTGGAGAGCTCCTTGGTCTTCATGGTGCCGCTTGCTTGGTGGTGCCCCTTGCTTAGTGGTGTTGCAGACACTGGGGCCTTTCAGAACAGGTGTATATATACTGAG